AATCTGAGTTCAAAATAAAGCATTATAGAGAATTATCCTTAAATTTTTCCTTTATTATTCAACAACGAATGCAATTAAAGTTCAGGTTTTAAATCTACATTTTATTTCGGCACATTTTCAACAAAATCAAATGAACAATATTTGTATATGGTATTAGTGTACAAACGGAATTTAATAATTGAACTAAGCCTCCATAGCTCAGTGGCTAGAGCACTGGTCTTGGTAACCAGGGGTCGTGAGTTCAATCCTTACTGCGGGCTGTTTCCTTTTTTTTTCTCATACGAATCTGATATTTGGGTGTTGCTCATTAATGTCATATTTTCGGAAAAGTACAATTTAACACTACCTAGTAGATTGCGCGTTAAATTTAAAAAAAGCATGCGTTTCATGCATCATATCGTATGGGTAGTCAATTGGGTTCTATTAAATCGGCATATAATTATATGTTTTTTTTCATTAACTATCTTTTCTTTTTCAATCGCCAGTTACTCAACAAAAGAACATACATAAAATACTGTACATTATAAAAACACAGTATAAGGCTCAATATCAAATGATGTATTACATGATTTGAATGGTGAAGTGTGTACAATTAATAAATACGAAGTGACTACTCGGAATTTTTTTTTTTCGGCTGAAGACAAGAAACAAAATAGTTCTGCGCATGCGCAATGGCCTTAATAGCTGCGCGAGGGTTAGGGTTAGGGCTAGGGTTAGGGAGAGGGTTATGGTTCTGCGGTTTGTTTGAAAACACACGCATGCGCAGTTCCATCGAAAACATTGCCATTGCGCTTTTTCCGGCTAGAATCGGTGCTATATTATGCCCTTTACACAGCACTGATCCTGGCGACCCAACGGGAAGTCACGGGACGCTGTTAAAAGTATAAAAGTATACATTTTCTATGTAAATTTTATTTCGTTTGGGGGAGGGGGGGGGGGGTAGACTTGTTTTCGCGAAGAGATGCCTGTAAGAAACTGGATAATTTTCTATTTTTAGACAAGGCTTTGTTTGTGTTGTGTCTCTTGTTTCTAAGAATAGCCTGCATGGTCGTACAAGGGTAACTTTTCTTATTGTTTATTTCCAGTCTGGTAACACGAGGAGTGGTAAACTATAAAAACTTTTTTGTAGAAGTAGATAAACAAAGGGATTATGACGTAATGGTTTATTTTCGTTAGCAGCACCAGACCAGAGTCGTAGCGAAGGGGGGGGGTTTGTATATGTTCCCGGGCGCCGACCTTAGGGGGCGCCAAAATGGGTTGGAAAAACAAATTAAAATCTCATTTTAGCAGCAGTTTTGCACTACAAATATAAAAAAAAATATATGGGGAGGGGGGGGGGGGTGCAAATTAAAAGTTTGAGAAGGGGTGCAAATTGAAAGTTTGAGGGGGGGGTGCTAATTGAAAATTAAAAGGTTGTTCCCGGGCGCCGAAAAGGGTGCAACGCACCAGACTAGCGGTTGTGGCGTCACTCGAACAATTTTAGCGATTGGTTATTACTACACAGTTCAACATAAGTTAATTAAGGTAACCCTGACCTTTTAATTAATTGTAATATATTTGAAAGTTATAGTGCACGATTGTCCGTTTTGAATTTTTTTTTTCCTCAGACATGTAATTTACAGCGTCAGTTTGCCTTGCCATGTTCGCTTCAGTATTACAGTTTTCATCATCGGTTTGTGAGGACTTATACAGATTTACAATAGTAATGCTTCTTTCTTACATGTAGCCTACTTAAATTCATTTAAGATGGTTTGCTTATAAAAAGAACTAATACAAAACGTCTAATTACAATCTTATTTTTAAACCTGAAAATGCAAAGGTGATTCAATGGATTTTTTTTCATAGTCGTTTTGGGTTGAGAGGTTAGAGCTTTTAAGTAGAGCTGAAATAAATGTTTTAATTATTATAAGCAGCTGGTTTGTTATGTCGGGTACAATGAGACACAACAGATCAAACATTCTTCCTTTTTAACCATCTGTATGTATATCTGTATCTGTTGCAGTCCTCCCACACCTCTCTTTTTTTACAATTTTTATTCGTCCAGTTAAAGGATCTAAAATTTCATTACACAAATTTATTTAAACCCCCACATTGTAAGATGCTATTAAGATATATATAACTAATTAAATAATAATATTAAAGTTTTTATCGTCGGAACTAAGTTAAGATAAAATTAATTACTATTTGTAAATTAATCAATTACCATAACATTGATTAAAACAAAATTAATGTAAATAATGTTTTGTGTGAAAAGAGCGACAAATGGTATACTTTGTAATTTACAAGTTTATTTTGTAAAATAGCAAATTGTAAGCTGATAGTCTCCCCTGTATTAACAAACAAAATATTAAAGGGAGGTAAAAATATTGAATACGAGCCGACCCGCGGCGTATCATACGCCGCTATTTAGTTGTTTTATTTTTCTACTTTTCAGTAATTCATAATTTGTGAATTCGACAGTACCAATGCTGCCACTGAAAATATTTGCTTTAAAACACTATCAGATGGTCGTTAAGAACGATACCCCCTCCTTTCCCCAATCCCCTACGACCCCACCCCCCCATCCCCGAAAGAAAACTCTTCTTAGTTACCTCCCCTAAGTTTAAAATCGTTTCAAACTACATTATCTGCCCCTAATAGCCGTCACTATACCCGGCTCTACGATTGTTAACATTTAGCGTGAACCACAGTTAGGGGTGGGGGTGGTAGGGAGCGCGCTTACAGCTTGGTGTTTTCTATCGTCTCCAAGAAGAGAAATATATATATATATATATATATATATATATATATATATATATATATATATATATATATATATATATAGATTGTATCACATCGCCTGCCTTATACCAATGTGTTTATATGTGTAGCGGAAAATGTGATTGATTTATGATTCTTGGTTGTTTGTGTGTGTTTCTCGTTTCCATCCTGCCGACGACGCCAAATGTGACAGACGTGTGACGTACCTTGATAGGTTGCGTTGTACCCCTTCTCGCAGCACCTAGATGCGACAGAGGTGTCTTACCACCTGTCGTGTAGGTATTTGTCCACGACTTAGGAATTCTGCCGTTAAGCTGTGAACACCTCATTCGGCACTGACTCATCCACCTCATCTAAAGAATCACACTCTGACTGCAGGTTCGAGATTACAACACTTTATTTCTTGATGAATAATCAGTTCCAAAAATAACATGAAAATCAACAGACCTCCACCAATGTCACTAGTCCACACACTGTATCACTCCGTATCTCACGTTCTACTGACACTGTTCTCTTCGAGTGCTGCACTCAAGGTACTCTATGAGCGAGCTGGGCACAATCCCCAATCAAACACGCCGTCTCTTAGTTGCACCTATGGCCACCACAGCATAGACCATCCACATGTTTACCAACTAGTATTCTATTTACACACAAGGAAAAGAAACTAGTTTAACAATGTCTGATCTAATGTGTAGGGCAAAAAGTAAGGTATTAATAATAAAAGAGAAATGAACATCAAGATCATGAAAGGAGTAAAAGGGTGAATACAAGTATATTTATAAAGATTGCAGTCTGTAAAGCTAGATATTACAACGGGGTTTATTTTCCTCTTGTAAAAAGGATTTCAGTAATACATAATTTGTCAGTTGAATACTATTTGTTGAAATATGTTTTGTTGATATTATAAGTACAATGTTAGTAACCATCAGACCAGAAATCTAGTTAATGTAGGTTGGAGCAGGGGTCGATCTTTTTCCAGGTTTGTACCTTTTTGTTGACAGAAAGTGATTCGAAATTTTAGATGTTCGTTTGGTAAGGGGCTATAACCGATTTTATGATGGGACGGTAGATTATTTAAGCAGTTATTTCCCTTTTGTCGTTCACAATGTGTTTTTTTTCCCGCCATAATGGTAGCTGTGTAAGCGATTATTTATATTAGTGTGGGGATGGGGGTGTTAGACACGTGGATGTATTATATTGTAAAAGGGAAAGATTACACGTCTAACACGAAATGAGGAAAGGGAGATAAGGAGTTATGAAGGTACTATTAGCCATTGCAAAAGGGTTTAAATTGCCTTTTATTTGTCATAAGAGTTTACAGTAATACATATTTAATAGTCTAATATAATTTATCAAATAAGTTTTGGTTCTGTCATCAATACATACATAAATATAATAATCATAAGTTGGCAAAATAAATACAATAATACAAAAAGAGTTATATAAGTTGAAGTCATTGCAACTTGTCCTTACAACAGGTTGTTCATTTCCTTCTCTTTGGCATAGCCTAGAGTTGCCGTATATATATATATATATATATATATATATATATATATATATATATATATATATATATATATATATATATATATTTATATATATCCATATATAATTTGATGGAATATTACAATTTGTTAAGCTATATTTTGTAATTACATTTATACTTTTATGCCATTTAAATATGAAGGTTAAGCCCTAATACAAAACGGATGTGTCATTTTAAAATACATTTTAATTAACTGCTGCTTACAAACATTTTTTTTTTAAATTGTGGTCTCCTTTCCAACGAAACGTTTTAGAAAAATGGGGTGATACAAGCGAGTTACTTCTCGGAGGCGGTGACAAAACGAAATTACCTCCCATGTAGATTTTTTTCTTGGTTTTTTTATTTGCAGGGGAAATAATGTAATTATAACTTGTTTTTTAAATTCTTGATTGTAATTATTTTTAAATAATCGTAACCAGGTTTCAATTGTATCAAAAATTCTTAATTTAAAAATGTATATAAATCTTAAAACATCAATTTCGCTTATCGTTTTAACTTTGTGTTTAAATATTTGTATTTGTAGGACTTTAACACCCTTAATTTTTTTTGAGTTGAATTTTAGAATAAATTTAAATTTTTCTTTTTATCATTACTTCTTCAAACAATAGCAATTTATTAAAAATTTTGGATCACGATTGAATGGGGACACTTATCAAAATGACACAGTACAATTATTTGTAGCATTAACTCATTTACGATGGCCATAGTCAAGGCTAAGGAACTTCGTGGCAAGAAGAAGGAAGAGCTTCTGAAACAGCTCGAAGAGCTAAAAAATGAACTGCAGACCCCTCGTGTTGCCAAAGTAATTGGTGGAGCTGCAGCTAAATCAGCTAAGATCTGCACTGTGCGCAAATCAGTTGCTCGTGTCCTCACTGTCATCAAACAGACACATAAGGATAACCTACGTAAATTCTACCAGAAGGATAACCTAGGTAAAATCTACCGTATGAAGGCTCACAAACCCAAGGACCTGAGACAAAAGAAGACCAGGGCAATGAGACGTGCACTCACAACTTATGAACTCACCTGCAAGAGTAAAAAGGAATTACGAAAACAGGGTCTTTATCCAATTAGTAGATTCAATGTGCGTGCTGTTAATTGCAATTTGTCTTTGGGCTATATTATATATATATATATATATATATATATATATATATATATATATATATATATATATATATATATATATATATATATATATATATATATATATATATATATATATATATATATATATAATATGTATATATACATGTATGTGTCTGTGTGTCTTAGTACACTGTCTCACTTAATTTTAAATTAAACCATTTGATTTAACCTATTTTATTGCATATTCATCATGAGACAACAAACCACACAGGAAACGGTTCAAACTCATCTGGACCGAAAGAATTGAGTTTTAAAAATCTCATTTTTACCCACCGAAAGTTATGAATACTCTATCATTTTATTTGGCAAGTCAGTCAAAAGAAAATGGATCATAGATAATTTATATTACAGACCTATGTGTAATGGTATCCCGTGTTAGTTTTATTCTTATGTTGTTTTTTGTTTTGTTTTCTTGCATCCATATAATTCATTTTGAATTAATTCATTTTATACCTTAGTCATTATTCAGGATGCTTTATTTAATAAAAATAAAGAGAGGAGATTTCTTTTTGTACAAAACTATTTTAATTAGCTTTATCATCAACCTTATTCGACTCTTTAAAGATGATCATACAACCATGGAAGTGGTTTCAAGGTTTGCCTTTTTTCAATCTTCAACTTATTTAGTTGTTTTTTTTTTTTTCTACGCAACGGTATGTGTTAGTTACTGTGGAACAACCACTGCTGCAACCGATTAGTTTTTTTGTTTTCACAAAGCCACTAGCCTATCTAGGTGCAGAAAGTTATTATTTTTGGTCTGATTTTGACCCCCCCCCCCCCCCCCCCACAAGGGCCTGTCCCCTCCTCCCTGCCGTATTGCGGGGTCTGGCGGTATAGTAGTTTCACACCTTTAATTAAAAATTACAATTTTGAAAAAAAACTAAGTACTCAACTAGCTACGGACATTAGAAGTGTTAATATTCGCAAGGAAATAACAACATTTGGTACATTATCTTCCAATTTTGGTTGTACTATATAGAGAAGGACCAGTGTTTCTTCCAGACTTTTTTCTCCGTGGGGGGGGGGGGGGGGGCACTTGAAATCTTCGGGGGGGGGGGGGGGGCGGTTAACTTTCTCCGGGGGGGGGGCGGACACTGTTAAAAGTATATATTTTCTATATAAATTATATAAATTTCATTTCGTTCGGGGGGGGGGGGGGCGGTAAAAATTTTTCGGGGGGGGGGGGGGGTAAAGCCCCCTCGAAGAGATGCCTGGAAGAAACTCTGAGAAGGACATCTGTTCGTGGCATATGCATACGAAGCTCATTGAAAAAGTCATTAGCATCAATATCCATATCAGCTTTCAGCGTAAACCATTTTTCTAAATTGTGCAGTCAGTAGGTATATATGCAGGAGCTTTTTTGTTGATATGGGATATATCATATAAAAGCATCAAGTAAATTATTATTTTGTTCTATATGTTGGAACCTTTCTTTAAATGGACTGTATATCAATATCCAATATATACAGCATAGTAGACATATGTTTTGAAATTCTGTTTAGGATCTTCTAGTGCCAACAATTAATTAAATTAAATTAATTTAATTTGAAAATCTGAAGATTTCCAATGAGACTTACACGCTAAATCTAGCACTGAATCAATATTAGAGTTAGATAATTATCAGAAATGCCCAGAATTAAAAGATTTATATTAATTACAATAATTAATTTATTGTAATCCCAGAGGTGCCGACTCAAAGTGGCGCCCAGCGAGGTAGATAATAATGTAAAAGGCTCATTATTGTATAATATGCAGTTGAAATAAAGAATGTTGACTGCTACTAGGCATTACGGACTTCTTTACATTTTTTTATGCATCAATTGTATGACACCAAAATAAAAAGGCAAGGTAACTGTAAAAAGCGCCTATACCTTTTCAAATTGGGAGGGTGGGGGCATTTTCACCAACGTATAAAAAAAAATTCTGCTAGTTACCACATAGTCTACGCGCTCATTGTTTACATTTGAGAATATTTATGATAGGAAGCGATGGAGTGTGGGCGTATTGTGAACCTGGTTAACGGGGCTGTAGCCTGAAATGTTGGTTTTATATCAAGACAGTAAATCACAAGATGCTGTTATAGTAGCTTTGCTTGATGTGGACACCACGAAAAGAGTGAATGATCAGAGGAAAAAAAAAGAAACATGACGATCAAATAATTTCTTTGTAGTGATGGAAACAAGCTGCAAGTTTGCCAGTCTTCTTTTTGTTTAACATTGTGTAAGTAAATAGCTTTACCTTCAGTGAGTTGGCTTGTTTGCTATATTGAATTTGCTCGTACTGCAGTTACTGGCAATAAAAAAGTGACTATTGTCCAGAGGTTTATCCAATAATGGAAGCTCTCTTCTTTCAATGTTACAGTGGAAATATCTTAATAATACATGGTTAATATATCCACTTTTTAAAGGAAAAACTGGGATTCATTCAACACAAAGGAGCCTAGAAAAAAGAACTGTGTAAAGGTGGCTAAAAATACAGATGTTCTTCGTGTTCTTGAAGCCGTAGGAGAGAATAAAGATTTCTTATAAGGCACTGCTATGTGATGCTACTGAGGATGCTGCTCATTCTAACTCTGATGTAGATAGTGCATAGTTTGTCTTCTTTCTTCTTCTTCTTCGTTCTTAATTATTAGTGTTAATGGTGATCGAAATTTATCTGCCAGTGGGGTTTGAACTCGAGACTGTTCGAATTTATCAACCATGAGCTTTTTGCCGACTCGACCACGCCTCCAACACAATTAAGCGTTACGTGTCAACTGGTTATGCGCCATTGAGGCCATTGACTCCGATTTCAGCCTGCTTTTCTTTTTGGATTTGCTTCCATAGCCTGTGTCCAACCAAGAACAAACTACAAGGCAGCAGGTGTTTAATTTTGGAGTTGTCTCTCCTAGAAGATTGGCTGTCCCCAGCTTACGAGCCTCATCTGCCCGAAGGTTCGAACTCGAGACTTTTCGGTTTAGCAACCATGAGCTTTACCGACTCGACCACGCCGACCCCTATAAATTGTCTGAATTATTTATTTTTTCTTGCTTCACTCACTTTATTTTACACTCATTTTTGTCTTCAAACTTTTTTTTTTCATTTCATACTATTTCTTTTACATTTTATTAGTGTTGTATAAAATAATAAACTTTTTTTCTTTTATTAAAACTATTCTATGATGACTTTTTTTATTTCTTTAGACTTTGTTGACACAGTTCAACAGTAGAAAAGACAAGCTGTACTCTTCAAATTAAAGGCTCTCGTTAGAGACTTGCGACAGTTTGAATATTGTTCAAATAACTGAAATTACTCACTAAAAACACTTTAAAGTAACAGAAAAACATGGTACAATTGGAATATAAGTGGGTCTTAATAAAATAATAAACTAAAGTATTGGACATCAGATGTATTATCAGAAAAAAATGAATATACTGCGTTTTGTAGCTTAACAAAAGCTGGATATACCTTATTTTGCAACTAAACACAAATTTTGGGACCAAAAAAAGCATCATTTTATAAAGGTACATTTCAAAAACCATTCTAGCCCTATTTAAATGAGGGTTATGAACCTAAATTGATAAACAGTTTTAGCATATTGTACAATGGCTTTGTGTAGGAGAAAAGTGCGATTTTCTCGAAACCCAAATTTTGGATATATTGCATTTTGGAAATCAACTCTCTCTCTCTCTCTCTCTCTCTCTCTCTCTCTCTCTCTCTCTCTCTCTCTCTCTCTCTCTCTCTCTCTCTCTCTTTATATATATATATATATATATATATATATATATATATATAAAGAAAATTTGGGGTCACTTTAGTATCTATTAGATACCTTTACTAATATTTAAGAGACCCACGCTTTTCTTTATAGTTATTTAAATAGTAGTGTATAATTCATGTTCTACTTTTTAGTGCATTATTACATAAAAGCTTGTTATTAATACGTTTTTATGATTTTTTTTAATCAAGACCCGGTTAGGGCAAGCTTCAACAGCTAGGCGTGGCCTTGACAAAATGTATTACTTCCCCTTTGTATTTGGGGAAAACTAGATAAGGGATACAACTTATAAAAATTAATGACTAAAAATAAATGAATAAATAATTAGTACAATGTGCCTAACATATTTATTAATTAAATAATTATTTATAAAACATTTATGGCAAAATGGAAAAAAATGTAAAGTTAGATATGTTTACTGTAAACAAATTGAATATTTTATAAAAATTTAAAAATTTAAAACGTTAGCTATATTTAAAGACTGAAGTTATTATAAATTAAACTAATTTATATGTAGCTTTGTGTATATTGTGAGGCGACGTGTAATAATTTCATTTTTATTGAGCCACTTTATGTGGAAAAACATGAATTTCATTAGGCAAGAGCTGCCACCTATATTATATTTTATTAAACATGATTAAAATATTGTTTAAATGTAGAAATGGTGTTTGCATGTATGGTATGGTAGGTAGTTTGGTTTTAGATAACAAAAAATTGGGTTCATAGAGTACACTTGTGTATGTTGGGTATCTATGTCGACTTCAGCATTTTTCTGTCATTATCTTAAAGAAAGGATATTTAATCGTGTCTTTCTTCTTTGTAAATTTTACAATAGCCAATTGCGGTAATGAAAAAGAAACTAAGTTTGACGATAGAATGTAATGAATCAAAACGGCCCAGTTTTACATTCTTGCCTCATATGTGTGTATTTCTGTATGTATGTGTTTTTAAACATGATGACTTTTTACTTAAGTGGACACATGGACATGTCTAGTTGATCACATTCTCATTAGAATGATATATCAACAAACAAATACAGTGAAACGAATTAAAAGCCGAAAATACAAAGTTTACAAATGCAAAAACACAATTTAAATTTTATGTTTGTATTTATTTCTTTTACATTTATAGCATTTAAGGTACTTTGGTATATACAACGATTTTGTAGTTGGACAATCAGTAATGGAAGATAATCACAATTTTGCGTTATCAAACTCAGTTGTTTGATTGGTCTGTAGGCGGGATGTGTGCGTCACATTCGTCAAATATAAGTGCCTTAATTCGCGACATTTCTTTTAGAACTGTGCACTTGTGAAGTGTAACTTGCATGCTTTTCTTAAACTCCAACTCTTGCAACTTGCTCTTGATTTCTGTGAATTTACAACCCCACAAATATTTGGTTTTCAAATCCAGCGATTGCATTTGAAGCGAACCAACATCAATTCCAAATGGTTCAATGCTTATCTCATTTGTTTTTGTGTTGAGATGATTTACTATGAACACCATCTGTTTTCAAATGGTCAAATCTCTCAGCAAAAACTTGCTTCTTTTTGGTGATATTAATGCTGAAGTGATTCATGTTAACAGTAGCTTTGGTTTCTTCACATTATTAGTTTTCAGATTTTTACCGTGTTTTCTTCAACAAAAACAAGTTTTTTTTTTGAAACAATCCACGTTTTCCAGCAAATGATAGGTACCATGATGTTGAATGTTTTGAATTTTGGATGGACACTTTAATAGTAAGTACATTGAAATAAGGAGTAACTAAATATTGTAAAAGAATAGCGTGCATTTTTTATATTTATTATTATATCGTTCGTTATTATATTGTTGCAGAATAATATTTTATATGAGTTTAGAAAATAAAATAATATTATTATTAATACTTGCGTATGGGAACTCGAGAGAAGCATATTGGCATCAAAAGAGCCGCATGTTGCCAACCCTTAACATACACCAGGGGTCGGCAACCTTTTGAAGCGGAAGAGCCAAAAGTTACAATTTTCGAAATTCCCTTGGTTTTAAAGAGCCAATAACATTTTTTTTATTTCAAATATTTATTTTTTATTAACATTATTAGTATTTGTTCAAGGAGCTGGAGAGCCGCATCTTGATATCAAAAGAGCCGCATGCGGCTCGCGAGCCGCAGGTTGCCGACCCATGACATACTAATCAAAAGTACTTTAGTCCCTATTTAAGGGATCCAGAAATAGATAACAATACAAATGATCTGACATCGGATGGACAAATTTTAATACTTCTTAAATTACAATTCTTAAAATAAAGCTAATGTGTCTTTGTTTCTAAGTGAAAGTATGATATAAGCTGTATTTTCTTTTTATCTACAACTAGTACACAATTATTTGCTTACTAAATAATTAAATACACGGTATTAGTAAATGAGTAATAGAAATGATGTATTTGTCAAGAGTTGTTAGATTTATTATTATTTTGAGTTATTATGTAAAGTTATTTCCCTTGCATTTAAAAATTGTGTCCCTTCTGTAAAGTATATAGAATTATATTTTTAAAAAATGGTCGTTTATTCATGCATCGTTTTCTCTTAATTAAAGAACTTTTTTTCAATAAAGTAAATGTTTATTCTGAGTGAAAACAGCATAAAAGAAAAATGTTGAAAAAATCGATATTACAGTTTGATATTGTGCTTTATATAAAATTGTGTAAATTAAAATTGTGAAACATAAAAAACCCACATCGTATTAAATTACTACTTTACAAATGAGGTCAATACAGTGTTTTAATTAGTATCCCCCCCCCCATTTTTGAAGATAAACGATTTTAGAAAAAAAAATGCATAATTTACGTTTCCCACATTTTTCTTGCAAATTTGTAACCATATAAAGTTCTCAAACGAATATCTTATTGTCTTAAAGATTGTGGGTTTCAAATTTACTTTGACCATACATGGTAGCGTTACACGTTTGAAGTTGGGGGGTGGGATGGATCGCACTAAAACAAAAAAAAATACATAAAACATACACACGTCCATTTTACTTGAAGTTCAAAATATATTCAACTAAAAGTAAAAACTTACAAAACGGGGGGTGTGTGTGTGGGTGGGGGGGGGGGGGTGATGCCTTGCTTTATTAACATGTGTAAACATTACTTACAAGATAAATGTCCGTTGATGGAGAAACAAAGCATGTGCTAGTTTAATAGTTTGTCTTTTTCCCCAAACCGAAACCAAAACCAAAATCACCACTTTAATTTCAAATTTAACCGTGTATCCACTAGTTTGTTTTATTTACTATTTTTCAGTAATTCATAATTTGTGAATTCGACACTACCAATGCGACGACTGAAAATATTTTGTTTTAAAAACACTATCAGTAGCTAGTGAAGGACGATTATCCCCACCCTCCTTTTCCCTTGTAGGGAGAATTCAACCTACGATCCCTGATTTTCCAGACAGTGCTATAAGGTGTTAATTATCTGTATAAAACTCCTAATCCGACGATTAACGCAGTAATCAATTGTCATTAATTGGCAGTCCAGTCTTGTGATGGTAGATTGTGGAGGAGTACGTGAGGTTAACGGATGAAGTTATAAAAAATCACGACAGGGATAAAACGACATACATAGGACCAAACCACTAAAGTACATATAAATATATACACATATATACAATTATATATATACCATATATATATATATATATATATATATATATATATATATATATATATATTATATATATATATATATATATATATATATATATATATATATATATATATATATATATATATAA